GAATCCACGCCCTCGCTGCCTCTCCACCGCGTATGGTGCAGACCGGGGCAGGGTGGCTCACCAGGCCCATGGTGCCCTGTTCTTCAACCTTCAAAACTGTCCTAGTCTTTCCTTTTTTCTATACAAAGTGCTGCAGTCAGGGCTGGGAGATGGTGTGGTCAGTAAAGTGCTGGACGCACAGGCATGAGGACTGGGGTTCGAGTCCCAGCACTCAGTGGTGGGCATGAGTAACTGTAGTGCTGGAGAGGTAAGCCAGCCAGCCTACCCCGACATAGAGATGCAGGCCTCAGTAAGAGACCCCGCCTCCAAAAAGCCTATGCCAGGTTGGGGATTTAGCTCAGTGGTAGAGCGCTTGCCTAGCAAGCGCAAGGCCCTGGGTTCTATCCTCAGCTCCAAAAAAAAAAAAAGCCTATGCCTCCAGGCACACCCACTTACACACCAAGTGCTAGCTTTGCGTATTTTATTGCAGCAACACAGAATGAACTAAATGGGTGTGCGGCAACCTCTCCATGAAGTCTACACTGCCCACCACTCCCTGCCGCCATTCTGTCCATTCTCTGTTCCTCCTCACTCACCACTTGGTTCCTAGAATCCAGTTTTGTTTTGCTTTTGTTTGCTGAGACCAGGTCTTGTTACGTAGCCCAGGCTGACCTGGAATTATACTTCTTATTACGCTTCTCCGTCAGCCCTGTGGGAACACCAGTTTCATGAACAAAATCATCCTGTTTTGTTTTGTTTGTTTGTTTGAACACAGACAAGTGCCCAACAGTGCCCAGTATCTACTGCCGTGCAAGCACTGGTGTGCAAACAGTGCGTTGATCTTCAGGGTCCTGCCATTAATGGGCACACATGGCATCAAAATAGAAATATTCAAAACAGGACCTATTTTTTTTTTTTTTTTTCGTGTTGCTCTCTCATGTTGCTAAAAGAACACAGAACAAGAAAGGAGGAGAAAGCCAGGTGGTGCTGGCACACGCCTGTAATCCCAGCACTGGGGAGGCAGAGGCAGGTGGATCTCTGTGAGTTCGAGGCCAGCCTGGTCTACAGAGTGAATTCGAGGATAGTTAAGACTGCACAGAGAAACCTTGCCTTAAAAAAAAAAAAATTCACGCAATATGATGGTGTACACACCTGCAGTTCCAGCTCTCAGGAGGCTGAGGGGAAAGGATTAGGGGACCTGAGTTCCAGGCCAGCCTGGGCTACATAGTAATACCCTCTGTCTAAATGTACCCACACATTGTTTCAGCTTAATTTCTTTCCTTTCTTTTTGAAACACTGTTTCTTTATGTAGCCCTGGGGGTCTTGAAACTCACTGTGTAGACCACGCTGGCCTCAAAATCAAAAGATCTGCCTGCCTCTGGCCCCCAAATGCTGGGATAAAAGGTGTATGCCACCACACATAGTTTTAGTTTGCTTTCTGTTGCTGTGATAAAACACCAGGACCAAAAGAAGTTTGAGTAGCTTTTGGGAGTGTGTATCTCACCTGTCCCAATCACAGTCCTCATGAAGAGAACTCAGGCCAGGAATGCAAGGCAGGAACCCGGGGGCAGAAGCCGAAGCAGAGGCTGGAGGAACCCTGCTTGCTGGCTTGCTCCTCATGGCTTGCTCTGTCTCCTGTCTTATATCATCCAAGACCACCTGCCCTGGGTGGCTCCGTCCACAGTGGGCTGGACTCTCCCACATCAATCATTAATGAAGAAAATGCCCCACAGGTGGGGGTGGGGTGGATGGGTGGAAACAAGTTTGGGTGCAAGTGACAGAAAAAAATATAATAGCATCAATGCAAAATTAGGCCTTCCTATCTTTTTCCAGTAAAGTCCAGAGGTAAATATTCACACAGGTACTGTCTCAATATGTCAGGCTGTCTTCAACAGGGACTTGGACCTCATGATCCAGCGTGGTATCTGGGCTCCTGCCATCACATCTGCATTTATCTAGCAGCAAGATGATGAGAGAGATAGAGATAGAGATAGAGATAGAGATAGAGATAGAGATAGAGATAGAGAGAGAGAGAGAGAGAGAGAGAGAGAGAGAGAGAGAGAGAGAAAGTAATACGAGCTTCTCTTTTTAAGGACAATTCCTTTAACTTCTTTTCTTCTCTCATTAGCCAGAAGATGGGCTCACACCTAGCTGCAAGGGAGGCTGGGAAATGTATCCCTCATCCTAGGGAGCCGCGTACCTACTCCGACATCAGAGGGGAAAAGGAAAATGAGTAATTGAGGATGGAGAGAATGTTTGCTCTATTACACAGGAATTCGCCTCATTAAAAAGAAACAGAAGGGCCTGGAGCCATAGCTCTGTGGTGTAAAGATTTGCTTCCAGAGGACCCAGGTTCCTCAAGGCTGTCTCTAAATCCAGTTCCAGGGCATTCAAGCATCCTTCTGGTCTCCACATGCATATGGTGCACAAGCATGTGTGTGGCAAACCACCCATACACATGAAAATAAATAAGCACATTTTTTTAAAGGAAAGAAAAAGAAGGTGGCAGAGGAGAACTCTGGCTGCCTCCTCTTCCTCTGGATGTGATGGTGCAAGCGTGTGCAAGCCTGTGACCCCAGCCCTTGAGAGGTGGGAGGCAAGAGAAGAGGGTCAGGAGGGCAAGGTGTGTGTTCAGGGCCAGCCTGAGACTCTCTCTCTCTCCCCCTTCCCCCCCCCCCACACCACAGAATTCCGTAGAGGAAGGTACCATCTTTTTGTTTGTTGGTTTAGTTTGTTTTTTTGAGACAAGGTTTCTCTGTGTAGCTCTGTCTGGCAGTCCTGGCACTCACTCTATAGACCAGGCTGGCCTCCAACTCACAGAGATCACCTGCCTCTGTCTCCCAAGTGCTGGGATTAAAGGCATGTGCCACCACCGCCTGGCAGAAGGTACCCTCTTTTACTTACTTGTCATTTGTATTCATTACAGGTGATGCTGCAATAAGCTATATGTTTTCAAACCACCTCCTTGGCATCAAGGGACTTTTTTGGCTGGGTGAATTCCCAGAAGGAGAAGTGCTGGGTCGGAGACTGTGTAATTATTGCCAAATTGTTCTTTGAAGAAGTTTCATCAATTTCTGCTTATCAATAATATCTTTCTCATACCCTGACCACGTGCTGTGGTGGAAAACATTGGCAGCCTTAGATAGAAAAGGATATCTCTTTCTGATAAGTGCAGGATGTATGGTTTATGTTTCTGCTTTTATGAGTCAGTTTAAATGTCTTTTCAAGTATATTAATGATTTATTAATGTTTTTGATGATTGATGATTTTTGGGTGTGTTTGGGGTGTGTATATATGCTTGTGTGTGTGTGTGTGTGTGTGTGTGTGTGTGTGTGTGTGTGCAGGTGCATGTGTGTGTGTGCTTTAGTTGGGAATTCTTCCCCCTCAGACACTCCCCTCCTTGTTTTTTTGAGACAGGGTCTCTCACTGGCCTGGAATTCAGTAAGTGGTCTAGGTTGACTGGGCCAGTAAGACCCAGAGATCCGCCAGTCTCAGCCTACTCAGCACTGAGATCACAATTGCATGCCACCATGCCTGGCTCTTTTAAATGTGAGCTCTGGGGACCGAATTCAAGTCCTCACGTTTTTGTGGCAAGCACTTTGCCAACTGAACCATCTCTCTAGCCCTAGACTGAATTTTTTTTGGGTGGGGATGTATAAGAAATAAAGTAGAGTGAGGACCTGAGTTTAGATCTAGCTTTCACACTGGATAGCTCATTACTGCCTGCGACCCCAGTTCCAGGGGTTCCAATCCCTCTGGCTTTTATGGGTACCTGCACTGGCGTACACATGTCCACACACATATACATATGATTAAAAATAAAAATAATCCAGGTGGTGGGGGCTCGAGCCTTTAATCCCAGCACTTAGGAGGCAAAGGCAGTTCGATCTCTATGATTGAGGCCAGCCTGGTCTACAGAGTGAGTTCCAGGACAGCCAGGGATACAGAGAGAAACCCTGACTTTAACCCTTCCCCCCAAATAAAATAAATCAATTCTTTGGGTTGTAAAGATGGCTCAGAGGTTAAAAGTGTGTACTGCTTTTGCAGAGAATCTGAGTTCAGTTCCCAGAAGTAAAATAAAGATCTGGTTTCTTCATCCTACTCCCCGCAAAAGCCGATTTAATCAGCTTTCACATTACCTACTGAATACACACCTGTTTTTGACATTGTTCTGAAATGTGTATCGACAGGTTAGGGCTATGTCTATATTTTATATTACTCAATAAAACTGTAGTTATTATTTTTATTTTTGAGACAATGTCTCACTGTGTAGCCCTGGCTAGCCTGGAACTCTCTGTGTAGACCAGGCTGGCCTCAAACTCACAGAGATCCACCTACCCATTTCCCGAGTGACACCACATTTGGCAAAATATATATATATATATATATTGGTTTTTCCAGACAGGGTTTCTCTGTGTAGCTTTGTGCCTTTCCTGGAACTCACTTGGTAGCCCAGGCTGGCCTCGAACTCACAGAGATCCGCCTGGCTCTGCCTCCCGAGTGCTGGGATTAAAGGCATGCGCCACCACCGCCCGTAGATATATATTTGTAATAATTTATTTTTGTTTTCTGAGTATGGTGCCTTGCCTGCATGGACATTTGTGCACGGAGTGTCTGAGGATGATGGGGGGGTTGGAGCCCTTGGAATTGTAGTTACTGAAGCTGCCATGTGGGTGCTGGGAACCAAACCTGGGTCCCCTGGAAGAACAGCCTGTGCTCTTAACTACTGAGCCATCTCTCCAGCACCAAAATATAGATTTTTAAAAACATGTCCATTCAAGCCTGTGTTAGCGATGGCGGCTCTGCGGTGTGCCTTAACTTCCGGTGGTTCCCTGTGGTTCTTTTCCCGAGCTTTTCCTCCGCTCTGATGCACTCACGTTTCCAGGATGAATGGCAGCTGTGAACTCATCATATTGCTATTGGGATTGCAACAGTCTCCGAAAACAAAGACTCATGAATGGTGTGCACTATGTTGTACCACTCTTCCTGTAGAGACATGAACAACCGTCTCTTCATCCCAGACAGGGCACTGACACCAGATCAAAAAATGATTCCACCGGCTTGCTGCCTGCTGCCTGCTGCCTGCAGCCTGCAGATTGGGAGGTGAAGCTCTGCCTACTGCTCCAGCGCCATGCCTGCCTGCTTCCTGCCACGGTCAGGAGTGAGTCTCTGAAACCGTAAGCAAGCCTCCGATTAAATACTTTCTTTCTTCCTTTTTTCTTTCTTCCTTTGTCCCCCCCCCCCGCCCCCCGCCTTTTTTTTTTCTATTTTCTTTTGGTCTTTCGAGAGAGAGTTTCTCTGTGCAGCTCTGGCTGTCCTGGAACTCAATTTGTAGACCAGGCTGGACCGAACTCACAGAGATCCACCTGCCTCTGCCTTCCAAGTGCTGAGATTAAAGGCCTGTGCCACCACCACCTGGCTTAAATACTTTTTTTTTTTTAAAAAAAAAAAAAAAAAAAAAACAACAAAGAAACCAAAAAAACCCACAAAACAAAAACCCCAATTCCACCAAAGTGTGGCTTGGTAATGCCACAAGTGTCCTGGGGTTACTCACAGTAGTCTTCTCTTGGCAATCACTGCTTAAGACCTTTGTCCCCTTGGGGAACGGAACATGAATCTCTTGACTTTCTGTGCATCCTGATCTTGCTAAGGTTTGTGAGTTTCCCGAGCTACCAACATCACCAAATAGTTTGGAACTGGCATGGAAAACATACCTGTATTTTGGGGCTGGAGAGCTGTCTCCATGGTTATGAGTACTTGTTGCTCTTACAGAGGACCCAGGTTCAGGTCCTAATGAGATAGTAAGGGATTACTGGACCAACAATGAAAATGTGAATTCTGCAGAGATTAAGTTAGACTAAATACAGCCTCCCCGGCTAAATCCTTATGTGTCTTTCATGGGAACAATGAATACTTTTTTGTGCGAATGTCCCAGTTAAATTTGAATTTCAGAAAAACAACAAATTATCTTTTTTAGCATAAATATACTTATGCAATATTTGGGACACATCTATGCTAAGAAATTACATGTTGCTTATCTGAAATTCAAATTTCACTGCGTGTCTCTAAGCTAGCAACTTTTCCAGAGCCCAGCACTTGGGGTGGCTTTGGTGCCAGGGCTCATGAGGGAGAGCTGTAGCAGCGGAGCGGAGGTTCTGAATCTTCTTTAAAAGTTGACCGAGGTTAGAGACCCTGGCAGACCACTTGTTTGACTATGAATTGGACCCACCGGACCCATGGGTGAATAACTTAGGGCATGGTTTTGGACGGTTCTGGAACTTTCGGGGGGGGGGGGTGTGGAGCCTTGCTGGGGGAAGTGAGTCACGGGGTGGGGGTGGGGCTTGAGGTGCCATAGCCCTACCTGAGTTCCCGTGTTTTCTCTGGACCTGGAAGTGGACATCTATCTGCTGCTTGCTCGTGCACCACCATACTTCCCAAGCACAGTAAACTCGCCTCTTTAACTATGAGTCAGAACACCACCCCCTCAGGCTGCTTCTTGTCGGGTAGAGGGTCACAGACAACAAACACAGCCGGTTGCCATGCCGCCCCAGCGGTGGAGGTGAGGTGACTTCCATTCCCCTGAACAACTTGCTTCTTCAGTGTAGATGTGTGCCGAGGATGACGAATGTCACGTGAGTAGACTCTTTTTGATCTGGGCCTGGTTTAGATGTGGAGACTTTGGGCCTCAGGCTCAACCTGGTACTGGAATTTTTGGGGGGAGTTTTTCGAGACAGGGTTTCTCTGTGTAGTTTTGGTGCCTGTCCTGAATCTCGCTCCGTAGACCAGGCTGACCTCGAACTCACATAGATCCGCCTGGCTCTGCCTCCCCAGTGCTGGAAGTAAAGGCGTGCGCTGCCACCACCGCCCGGCTTGGAGGCTCAATTCTTAGAGTTAAATGGTCTTTAGGCATTTTTACATATGTGTGAACCATCCCATGATCACCTTAGTAACACTCAAAGGACATTTTACTTATTTTGTGTGTGTGCGTGTGCGTGTGTGTTATTGGGGATTGAACCCAGGTCTTGGTGCACTCAAGGAAGGAGCCCCACCACCATTCCATCGCCCTAGCCCCTCTTCGACGATTTAGGTCAGCAATTTCTCTCGATGTAAATGTTCACAGTGTAAGTTTTAGACTTCTTTTGTTGCGTGCATTCCGAAGTATGCTATTCTGGGATTTGGCTAGTTGGTAGAAGATTAGCACGGACAAGGCCTTGAGTTCAGTGCACCACAAAACAAAATGTTATTTATTTATGTATTTTAATGCATCATAAATGAGAGTTTTCAAAAATTTTGAATTTCATTTTGGATTATTCCGTGCAGGCATACAGAAATACAACTGTTGATGGTTACTGAGTTGGTATCCTAACGCCTTGCTGAGCTTGTTAGCTCTGATATTTGTTTGGTTTTTGGTACACAGAATATCATTTATCTCCCTCCCTCCCTCGCTCCCTCCCTCCCCTCCTCCTGTTCATTCCTTGGAAACAGGGTCTCTAGCTCTGACTGGCTTTAACCGGACTGAACAGCCAAGGATGACCTCACACCTCTAATCCCCAACTCCGCTCCTCAAGTGCCGGGATTACATATGAGTGCTACCACATCCTATTTGGTCAGTGCTGTGGATGAGACTTGGGGCTCTGTGCACGGTAGATGGGCGTTCTCCAAATGACCCACACCATCACAGCCTATGGAGTGGATGAAGTCCCGAGTGACTGTGTATTAACGACATGAGCATATCCACAGAGAGGACCCCAGTGCCTCAGACCCATGGGAACGGCAGCCTTCCCCTGCTTAAAAGTCCAGATGTTGACAGTTGTGCAGAAAGTGTCAACCACAGGCTTCTCCTCCCACTGCCTGCTCCCCAAGACTGCTCCTCTACGGAGAGCCCTACTGAGATTGGCTGGCACACATCCTGTTGAGCTGTGTACAGTGAGTGAGCCCACCTCCTCAATGAGCTGTGTACAGTGAGTGAGCCCACCCCTCAATGAGCTGTGTACAGTGAGTGAGCCCA